GAGAGAGAGAGAGATATTATCATATTATTATGATGATGATGATGATGATGATGATGCTTATAATGATTATTATTATCATCATCAAAATTATTATCATAATATTATCATAATAAACATCATAATAACATTTTTATAATTATTATCGACTTGCTCTATTTTTCTGTGCAAGTCTACTGAGTTCATCTGTGTGTCACGTCAACGGTTTTTGTCTGTTCCCCAGAGTTCAGAGGTCAACTGACCCGCCTGGAGCAGCTGGGGTCACAGGTGCCTGGTCTGGTCATCTCTGACCTACTGAAGGAGGAAGTCCAGCGTGCGCAGAACGCCCAGGCTCAACTGACCACCACATTTCAGTCAACACTTGACCGACTCGCTGAGAGACAGGTGTGTGAGAATAGTAATAATAGTAACATTAATGGTAATAATAATAACAATAATAATAATAACAATAATTTTAACTATAATAATAACTATACTAATAATTCTTTGTATTGCGCATATCCCCTCTCGAAAACAAAACAACAAAGTCAATGCACTTTATCTATGATTTATAATCTATATCATTACCCCAGCCGACCCTAGAACTCTGTGAAACATTCTCAGCTTGCCGGAATACATTCGGTGTAAGCAGCTAATCAAACGCTCAAACACTTGTAAACTGATAAGATCTTTCGCTGTCTATAGCCGGCTACCATTCCTAACGGGGTGAAGTGAGGAACAATCGTGTAAAGTGCCTTCTCAAAGGACACAACGTCAGGCCCCTGACAGGCTTCGTACCCACGACCTTAGGGTTACAAGGCCGATAGCCTGACCATTAGGCCACGGACGCAAAGACCAAAATTCACTTTTTTAAAAAGATCAAACCATGCATTCAGATTTAATTTTGTCTACGGGTGCTCAGGTATTGTTTGTTCCCTCATTTCTACTAAACACATATTGTCCTTAAATCCCTCTTCCTTTATTTGTGTGTTTGTTACTCTCTTGCAACACCTCTAATCTTCGGCACTTATAATATGACCTAATTGTGTTGCAAGTGCCTTAAAGCTCTTACTAAACCTAAAACATTATTCTCTAGTAGCACCCCTTATCTTCGGCCCTTATACGACTCCATTGTGTCGCAAGTGCTTTAAAGTTCATACTAAAACTAAAACTGTGTATATCAGTCTCTAGTAACACCTCTTTTCTCCTGCACTTTAGACCAAATTGTGTTGCAAGTGTCGTAAAACACTCATTAAAACGAAAACTATGTCAGTTTCTAGTAACACCTAGATCTTCGGCACTTTAATGATCCAATTGTGTTGCCAGTGCCGTAAAGCTATTGCTAAAAGTAAAACTGTGTATGTCAGTCGCCAGTAACATCTCTTATATTCACGACTTATTGCTTACTTCTTACCAAAGCTAACACGAATAAGGAACTCACTTTGAGAACAAGACTGCAGCCAGGACGCCAAAAGGCAGATGACGTAGATACATCTCGTCACCAGCTCGACGTAGCGTCCCAGCATACTTCCGGTGATGCGCAACAAGGTGAACGCCCCGCCGGAAGTGGGTGCTTCGGTGCCGTAAGGTGATCTGTAAGCTGCAAGTTGTAGTAGTCGGCATTCTTGATTAATTTCTTAGTGGCCTCTTCTCTGAAACATGATTTGAGTTTGTTTTTTGTTGATTAATTTGTTTGAGTAAAGAGAAGGTCATCGAGACTATAACGATCGTTAATTATTGCTTCGAAAAAGCAAGATACACAAAGTTTTAGTTTTAGTAAGAATTTTACGGCACTTGCAATACAATAAATAGACAAAAAGAAACAACAGAGGGACGGAAATAAAGGACCTATCTGTGGTGCCCTCTTAAACCACCCGCTGATCTGATTTTGAATTAAACCCCCCCCCCACAAAAAACAACAAACAAATAAACAAACAAAAAACATACACCCCCAAACAAACAAATTCATAACAGTAACAGACAAAAACTGCGAAAGAAGTCGTGAGTTAAACCATCCCGTACCCCCACCCCCTGTCCCCCAATTTTTTCCCTTTAAAAAAAAGAGAAAATGTGAAGTGCCACCCTAATGACAGAAGAAAGAATGTGCCTTGCAACATTACTTCGAGAATTAGGCAAAAACATAGAAAGATATCAATGCATATATAGATGCATAATTTCGTTGAGATAATTTATAGACTCGCTTCTCACCTAGCCATGTTCTTTAAGTTTTAGGGGACGTACCAGAAAAAAGAATCCCCCTAACAAAACTCATATACAAACAAACAAAGAAACCCCCCCCCCCAAAAAAAAAACCCCCAATACAATAACAACATCAACACCAACACCAACAACATCAACCTCCCCTCCCTCGT